CAACATTTGCTCCTATGCACACCAGATTTCAGAGTGTCTTTGCTCTAATAGTAATTAATGAAACTGTTAATAAGCTACATATATCATATTATGCTGCAATAATTTATCAAAGGATAATGTTATGAGACAAATTATATATAACAATTATAGAAAACGGCTTGCATTACTAAATGCTGCACACTGCTAACTAGTTTCTTTACTCTTCTCCTCTTAATGAATCGCTAATTAATTTAATGCACACTTTATGCATAATTTGAATTTTCAAAACATTGCTGGGTCAGGTTTTACCACTCTCCTTTACATGCTGTCTGCTTCTACAAGACACATATTAGCAAAACATGACCCCTATGCAAATGACAGAGCCCTGCTGGTATTTTCAGTCCGAATCCCTGTGAAGGCGCCTCCACACACTCCCTGCCATGCACGCACACATTGCACTGCACCGCATCGCACTGCATCGCATCGCATTGCAGTGCACTGCATTGCATCACACTGCATCATATTGCATCACGCTGAACTGCATCACACCGCATGGCATCGCGCGGCATCACATCACTGCATCACATTGCACTGCATTGCAAGGCATCACATCACTGCATCGCATTGCGCTGCATCGCGAGGCATCACATCACACTGCATCGCATTGCACTGCATCGTGTGGCATCACATCACACTGCATCGCATTGCACTGCATCACGAGGCATCACATCACACTGCATCGCATTGCACTGCATCGCGAGGCATCACATCACTGCATCACATTGCACTGCATCGTGTGGCACCACATCGCCCCATGACCCCGCACAAGAGCCCGTCCTGCACGCGCCTCCCCTGCACAGAAGTGACACTTTGCACCGGAGCCGCTGCAAACTCAGTCATTTTTTATACCCCCAATGCAAACAAGTGGCTATTCTGTTCTCTGTGGTACAACCTGCCCCTTTTGGGGGAAGCTGGTTTCAATCATTGCCCATGCTCACATCCATCCACAGACTGACTGGCACCAGCATAAACCAAAAACCATTGCTAACCCCAGAGAAAACAGCTTAGCTTATGATCAGGGAATCTTTAAAAAAGAGAAATGCAAAGCTCAGTTTCTCTGGAGTTTCTGCAGAGGGGCCCAGCACTGGCCCACACAGGCCAGGCCAGGCCTGCCGGTGTCTCCTCGGACAAGGGCTGCTCGTGTGAATGAAACACGCACGAGCCCAGCGCCGCTTAGGCAGTGTTGGCTGCCTCCTGGGACACTGTGTGTGAAGAGCACCCAGTTTCCAGCTCCAGGTTAGTTAGCCTGATGCTCCAGACTCCATTAAGGATGGAGGACAGAGGAGCCTGAGTTACAGCAGCTTCTCCCTGCAGCAGCAGCCGCCTGGTGCCCGGCAAGGTGCAATAGGGACAGAGCAGCCGGAGCCACTGCCAAGGCGATGCCTGGAGCTGGGAACACCAGCACAGGGGACCCTTAATCCTCACTCCAAACTTTCCCGGGTTCAAATGGTCATTTGAAAACTACTTATTTTTCCCCCAGGTAACAGGTGTTTTGCAGTCTCAGTGAGAGGGGAGCTGAGGCCAGGGGTGCCCACTCAGTGAATCCTGCTGCCCAGCACAGCCGTGCCAGCCCTGCTGCCCTTCCAGCTGCAGAGGTGTCACAGTCCCGGTGCAAACACAGCCGGGCTTTGCAAGCGCTCTCTTTCCAAAGCACCAACACGGACACAGCCTTTTCTGCCCATTCCTGTTCCTCTCCGTGCACATGTTCCCTGCCACGGCGGCAGTGATCTCCCCAGCGCCGCGCGCTGTTTTTCCATCGGTATCGCTCGAACTCCGGGGAGCTGCACGGGGCAGGCTCGGGGCAGCAGCGGCAGCAGCCCGGGTTTTCCCGCATCCACGGGCCGCCCGCCCTG